AACAAAATATTGTGTGACCGCTGCAGCAGTACAGGTGTGCTCTAGATTTTTTTTTAAATATTACCGTATTTTCCGCACTTTTGGGCGCACCAAAAAGTCTTCCATTTTCTTAAAAGCTCACCGAGCGCCTTAAAATTTGGTGCGTCTTGTGTATGGTCATTACGGTAAAATGTCGACTCCAAGATGGCTCCTTCCTTGAGACATGCTTCCAATGTTATAACTTGCTGTTGGTTCAGTGAACTGTGTCGCTGCTTTACTAAATAAGTTTGTGTTGCAGCTCCGAATAAAGGAGAGCTGTGGTATTAATTTTTTAAAACAGTCTCAACAAATACAGGTACGTCTTTGTCTGTCTCCGTGCCTTCTTCCGTTCGACTCGAGAGGCGTTCAAGACCGCCTCCAAAAAACGTAAACTAACGATTACTTCAATGAAACTACAAAAATTGAAAATAATACATCAAAACTGAAAAGCAAGCGAGGATATCACAAAATAAATTCTATAGCCCCCCTAGAGAATGTATATTGTGATTTAATCATTTGTGAAGACACAACAAAGGAATAAACAACTTCGACTGACATCCGATCGTCCTGTTGGAGCTACAGCAAGGATATGCCAATGCGTTTTTCAGAGGCGGTCATGAACGCCTCTCGAGTTGACCGGAAGAAAAGAAGGCACGGAGACGGACAAAGACGCACCTGTATTTGTTGAAAAAAGGAGAACTGTGGTTGTTTTTTTTTTTTCTAACGCAGACTTTATGAATGGTTTTCACAGTCTCAACAAATGTACTGTACGTCTTTGTCCATCTCCGTGCCTTCTCTTCCGTTCCACTCAAGAGGCGTAAATTAATGATTACTTCAATGAAACCACTCAGAAAATCAAGCGAGGAAATCACAAAATAAATTCTGCAAGGGTGGATATAGAATTTATTTTGTAATTTCCTCGCTTGATTTTCTGTTTTGATGCATTATTTTCAATTTTCGTAGTTTCATTTGAGTATAGTAATAGTTAATTTACGTTTTTCAGAGGTGGTCATGAACGCCTCTTAAGTTGAACGGACGCCTCTCGAGTTGAATGGAAGGAGCGTAGAACCATCTAGTGGAGGCATTGTAGATTGCGCCTTATAATGCGAAGTCCAATGTATGAAAAACATTTACAAAATAGCCATTCATTGAAGGTGCACCTCATAACCCGGTGCGTCTTTTAGTGTGGAAAATACGGTAATACAATACTATTAGGGCGGCCCGGAGGACCAGTAGTTAGCACGTCGACCTCACAGTGCAGAGGTACCGGGTCCAATTCCAGCTTGCATGTTCCCCGTGCCTGCATGGGTTTTCTCCGGTTTCCTCCCACATTCCAAAAACCACGCATGGCAGGCTGATTGAACACTGAATTGTCCCGAGGTGTTAGTGTGAGCGCAAGTGTCTGCCCTGCAATTGGTTGGCAACCGGTTCAGGGTGTCCCCCGCCTACTGCCCGAAGACGGCTGAGAGAGGTTCCAGCACCCCCGCAACCCTTGTGAGGATAAGGAGGATCAGAAAATGGATGGCAAATGACAAAGATTAAGCAAGTGTCTCACTAAATGCAAAAACGCCACGGTCCGGAGCAACAACGTTGACAGTTGGTCATATTGTTCGTCTTCGTTTTAATGATGAAATACATATTTCAAGATTATTTATTTGGACAGTTTCAGATTTTATCTAAAATCAAGATTTCCTTTTGAGAACAGATCTGTACTGCAATGACGGAAAAGGAGGACACTTTATTTTGAGAATTATTTCTATGTGCACCAGTCTTTTTTATGTCACTACAATTGGATTTCCAAAGATGAATTAGTCTGACACTGATGGCACAGCAGGATAAAAAAAAAATTCTCAAGGGACACATCAATGAAAAAGGTTGAGAACCACTGGTGTAGATAAAAGCCTTCTCATTGTAAGTGTGTTCCATTTACCATTGTGATCAAATTGGATTTTTAGTGAATGGGGTAAACGTGCTTTGGGACAAAAGTACAAATTGCTGACCCCTTCGAATTGATTCAGGATTTCCCGCTGAAACGGTAAACTACCGGCTCTGAACACTGGCCTAGATTCATTAAAACGAGCCAGAAGCCAAGCAAAGTTGTTAGGATGTTCTTTGAAGAAGTCAATTTTCAAACAAACACACTCAAAACCACTAAATATGCATAAAAACCCACTCAGAGCAGTGGCAAAAGTCATTTTGACAGAGTAGCGTCCGCACCTGCAACCCAATTAAAAAAAAAACCAAACATTTAAACATTTATAAAATGTCTGGCTACCTTTGTGTTCGAGTTGGTCTCCTTGCCGGGCATCTTCTTCATGACTCTTGGGCAAGTCTGAGTCTAAAAAATATTGCAGGGACATAAATCCGATCATCAGTCCAGTGATGAAGAGTGAACGTGACCTAAATCTCATTCTGTGTTAACTGTCAAATACATACAGTACATAGATGTAGATATTTTTTTGGTTCCTGAGGTAAGAGTCCAGGTATGTGCACAAATCTTGCACCTGCCCTTTTGCCATGGATGAGAGAAGTCTCCGTCACTGATAAACTTTGCACCGACAGCAAGCCCCCACTTTGCTCCTCCTCCTCCTCCACCTCTTGCTCTTCTGCGTCCGCCTTCACTTAGCTCTCATCCAGTGTTTGAACACAAATATTCATCCATTCATTTGCTAATGCGCTTATCTTCAAGAGGGGTCGCGGGCGTGCTGGAGCTTATCCCTGCTGTCTTCAGGCAGTCGTGGGGACACCCTTCACTGGTTGCCACCCAATCGCAGGGCACACAGAGACGAACAACCATCCGCGCTCACTATCATACCTCCGGACAATTGAGAATGTTCCAACCTGACATGCATGTTTTTGGAATGTGGGAGGAAACCGGAGTACCCGGAGAAAACCCATGCCAGGCACGAGACAAATGTGCAAACTCCACACAAGAAGGCCGGAGCCGGAATCAATCTGTGCACCTCCGCACCGTGAGGCCAACGCCCTAACCACTGGACCCACGGGGCCGCCCTCTTTTAATATGTAAACAATTTGTTTTTCATGTTGAAAATAGCAAGTTTTTTCATATATTTGGCTGAAAAACACTTCAAAACATGTGGATTGGGGACACCGTGAGTGTCCACAAAAGAGAAATAACGACTAAACATTCATCATCTGTAATGTTCACCTTTTTGTTGTTCATCATCATCACCAAAACGGTGGTAAATCGTCATAGGAGTTCCTTTAAGTCGGTGGTGCCCAATCTTTTTTCAATATATCGACCGCACGTGCACACATACAGGCACGCATGCACTCACACATACGCATCCACGCACGCATGCATGCCATAATGGCCCAGAAAATGAACAAAACAGACAAATAAAGTGGATACAAGAGTTTCTGAAAAGGAAATCACTGCCGACCTTGGGGACGAATCGACGTAGAGGCATGGGACGCACTTTTGCAGCGTGCTAAGTGTAAGACCATCACTACCCAAGTTCACGTGTTACGTTTTAAAATACTCCAGATTCACATTCTTTGCCAGCGGCCTCGGTGAATTGGGGATGAAACAAACTTTGAATGAGAATAATTTTATAAAGGAAATGTCGTAACAGCTCTGACTGCAAGCTGCAATTGTAGACTGTTGACCGCTAATAACTTCTGGTGATGCAGGTCATGCGCCACCCTAAATTAAAATTGATTTGCTTTTTTATTTTAATTTAAAAAAAAAAAATTGTGAAAGTGAGACTCAAAGAATGCTGAGCGTGCAGTGTACACTAACACAAAAATATTTTAATCACACGCACAAAAATATTTTAATCACACGCACACACACGGGCGATTTTTTTTTTCTTCCCATTTTAACCCACACCCATCGCGATCGATTTGGGACCAGTCCACAGGCTACCAGTTGATTGCGATTGACAGGCTGGGCACCATTGCTTTAAACTACTCAGAGTTATTCAAAAACACGAAAAAGGGAAGTGAATAAAATGTACCTACCTCCTGGAGCGCGTTGAGCGGACGCCGATCATCATCATCATCCATCTGACTCTGAGGCAGAGAAGAGGGTTGAGGAGCCACATATGTGACTGCCCTGCTGGTCATCTATAAAGACAGTCAACAATGATAGTGATTCAGAATCTTTTTGATCAATAGGCCATCAGATCAGATTTGCAATTTGCAAGGGGGCAGAAAATTCCTGGTAAATTCAGTCATCCTTCAACACATTACAAATCATTTTTTCTGATTCTGAGAGAAAATAAATCATTGATCAAGTTGCACTTAACTCATTCATTTTCTAATCAGTTTATTCTCACAAGGGTTGGGGGCACGCCGGAGCCTATCCCAGCTGTCTCTGGACAGTACACTCTGGACAGCCTGCCACAGCCACCGCTACTGCTTCGCTCGGAAACGGCAATAGGAACCACCACACTGGCTTACATATGTGCAGTAGTACAGGAAGTATTTGTTATTGTTAGTTTCAGACGCAGAACGAACGTTGCATTGCTAAAATGGCTACAAAACGGACCTTTGCAGACCAAGGAGTTAAGAAAAGAAAAGCTTTAATGCTTGAAGATAGCATAAAAGTCATAAAAATGAAAGATGGAGGAAGCAAAGTAAAAGACATTATGCAAGAAATTGATGTAAGTGAAAGTGAATGCTGATCATAAATTTCGCTCATACTTATGCACTATTGGAATGAAAATAAAGAGTAAACATATACGTTCTATGTGCGTGTGTGTGTGTTTACGTCTGAGATGAAATTAGCTATCGTAAAAAAATTCCCCTGTCGTGAAACATTTCTGGCTGCAAACATGATTTCGTTGTCGAGGTATTTCACTGTAGTGGTGCAGAATAGGTGGATAATAAGTCTCACCACCTAGTTTTCCCTCTCCACTTGAATGCAAACATAAACGCAGCACATGATGGGTGGTAAACTCTTCTTCTGCGCTGGTATTCTGCATTATTTATCATATCTCCCCGATACTCAGCAACAAATTGTCCGCTGCCGATTGTACTCTTTGCAAATAAATATTCCACATCCTGTAGCAGACAGCAACAATAGTTTTTAGAAGAAAAAAAAACAGGCTTGGCAATCTATTCTTCCATTATTGAGAGGTCGATGTTAATTTAGAAAACATATCTTGTACAATAAAATTGTTTTTATTTGTTCGGTTTCACATGTGTGTTCTTCTACTGAAGTAAGACAAGACGTGGAATTAATCTATTTATAACATGGCTTGTTTACAAACTGAGTCGGAACCTGCAAAACTAAGCTCAGGGTTTATATTTATGCTCATATGATAATAACTGTATATGTTTTATCCACAGTATATGCCATATCATGTAATAATTACTCAGCATATAACATCAGACAACACCTTACCTTTGACTGCATTTATGTACCTCACACACAATTTGCCTGTTTTGTCGGTCCTGAATGAAATGTGACAAATGGCTTCCTGAAGAGGGCTGACTCTTTGTGGCATTTCGAACTTAAGAGAGAGAGAGTTTGCATTGTATTCAGTCAGAATTGATTTATATATTGAACATATAAACACAACATGAAATACAGTACATTTAAAAAAAACTAAATAAAGGAAAAAATTCAATACATGTTTTGGTTCAGTACAGTTTACATGCTCAAAGGAAATAGTAAGAAGTACAAAAACTTGTCAAGTTGTCCCCCTTGATCTTTATAAATTTAGGGAGTTAGCTTCAACTTGTTTGATTTGAAATTAACTGTTCATATTAATATCATACAATACAGAGTTATCGATATAGTGCTTTCACAATAGCTGTGGTTCTTGGTTTTGCTGTTTGGTGCTTTCTACCGTCTTTGTTACCGATTTGTTGCTTTACTGTTGTGCATATTAGTTGCTCCATGTACAACACTTAGGATGCAGCGATGGCTGTTTGAAAGTGCTCTATAAATACAGTTGAGATGACAGTTCAGTGGAGGCACTTTTATTTTGAAGGTGGCCAACGCCGCTCGCTGGCAGCAGACTACTGTAATGCAGAGTACTGACAATCGCAGTTGTGGCTCACTTGACTTCGATTTTGCGAGTGGAGACTGGCTTGACCGCAGCAATCGACTGAAAGAACGAGAAGTGGCCGAACCTGCTCTGGTCGAGCCAACTCTGAACTTCCCGAAAACAGAGTCGTTGTCCTCATTTGCTCCGAAGAAATCGTCCTCGTAATCTGCCGTCCTCCTGCACAACATTTTCACACGATTCATGACAACATTATACACTCTCACCCTTTGACTTGATGGACAAGGACTGATAGCGCACTCAGCAAACATTCTGGACCAAAAGTTTTACATCATTACTGTATTGGGAAACATATCAAACTGACTGAATCATCGAAACCAGGTTTGCAAGCATCATCTCAATTTGCTTCTGGCGATTGTAATAATCTCAACATGGCTGGAACAAAATAATCAATTGTTATTTTAAACATTTTATAAATGATGCGCTAGCATCATCTCACTGTTTTTTTTTCTTTTCCTCTTTTTCACCCTGGCTCGCGATATCTTTTCGATGACATATCCAAATATAAACTTCTTCCAAATTTGCGATTGAAGCAAAATGTAACAAACTACGACAGAACAATAAAGAGGGGCCTGCGGAGTACGAAAGTTAGACCGACGAGAGGTCCGCACAGGAGATTCATCTTTTTTTCATGTAATTAAGACTGTTATTTGTGTATTACATATATTTATTAACATACGGTTCTTTGCAGTTTTATTATAAATATTATATACTGTACTGTTATTATAATTCCTATTATTATGATTTTTTTACAACCTTGATTTTTTTTGGGGGGGTGAGGCTGTTGGTGCCCTACGCGGAGTGTGTAATCAGTGTATGCCAAGCACCGTGCCTGCTGTTGTGGTTCCCCCTCTAAGTGTAGATGCGACCTTCTGCCCTCGGCACCTCGTCTGCCTTTTCTCTCTCACTTCCTCATGCACACGCACGACAAACAGTGCCTTGTTTGTACTCAGAAAAACATCATTTGCAGACATGCATTTTAAGCTTTTACCTGAACTATGATTACATAAAGGCAGCACTAACACAAAAGCCAGTACATTCTAAAAACGTGAAAAACTGCAATACAACGACATCAAAGCTTATAAATGAAAATCTCTTCTCTATCCATCCAAAATGTGACCTGTGCTTAACACAATTGAATCAACTTATACAATAAATAAAAACAAATCAGTTTAAAAAAAATGTACAAATACAGTCAAAAACACTCTGAAAACTAACTTAAGTAAAACTAAATTTCAAAACCCAAACTCAAAAACTATTATAAAGAAGACGACTACTCATGATAATTTCAAACCAAAAACATGATCGATTCACCATGCTTTAGAGAGAATCTTTGACCACAAACTGTGCAGGAAAAAAAGGCTTCTCAACAGTGTCTTCCTCTGTGACGTTTTAAAGTTACCTTGTGAGAGAATTTTTGGGCACAGACTGTGCAAGCAAAAGGTTTCTCACTAGTGTGGGTTCTTATATGATTTCTTAAGGTTCCTTTCTCTGAAAATCTCTGACCACAAACTACACAAGAAAAACGTTTCTCACCAGTGTGGGTTCTAATGTTAATTGTTAAGCTTCCCTTCTGAGAGAATCTTTGGTTTCTCTCCAGTGTGTGTTCTTGTGTGGATGTTTAAGTGTCCCTTCTGAGAGAATCTTTGACCACAAACCATGCAGGAAAAAGGTTTCTCGCCTGTGTGGGTTCTTGTGTGAATTGTTAGGCTTTCCTTCCGTGAGAATCTTTGACCACAAACTAAGCAGAAAATAGGTTTCTCATTAGTGTGTTTACTTGCATGACGTTTTAAGTTTTTCTTCTGAGAGAATAGTTGGCCACAAACTGAGCACGAAAAAGGTTTCTCATCACTGTGTGTTCTTGTGTGTGTTATTAAGGTTCCCCTGCGAGAGAATCTTTGGCCACAAATTGGGCAGGCAAAAGGTTTCTCATCAGTGTGTGTTCTGGTGTGTGTTTTTAAGGTACCGTTCCGTGAGAATTTTTGTCCACAAACCGAGCAGGTAAATGGTTTCTCACCAGTGTGGGTTCTTGAGTGTATTTTTAAGTGATGCTGCCGAGAGAATCTTTGACCACAAACTGAGCAGGAAAAAGGTTTCTCACCAGTGTGGCAAATCATATGCCTCTTCAAGCTCTTCGCATAAGTATACATATTCCCGCACTGAGAACATTGCCACCGTTTTTCAGTTTCACATGTCATATCATCTTCAGACGGTTTATCACCAGTCTCAGTAGAACGTGGCGTTATGTCATCACCGCCTGATGGTGATCCTCCATCACCTTCTGTTGTCACGTGTTGATATGAGCTGCTACATGGAGGGCCTGCCCCTCTACTCGCTTCACTTTGTCCTTCATCTTCACTTTTCAAAGGGTCACCATTCAGTGGCCACTTGCAGATATTTTGCTCCTCCTCCTCCCCTTTGATGTAGGGAGGCTTTCCTTCATCCACCAGGGTGTGGAGATGCATTTCCTCCTCTTTGATGTGAGTGTGCTCTTCATCTTCTTTTTTATTGACAGGAGGCTCTGGCTCCTTCTTTACTTGAATGCAGGGGGGCTCTTCATCCTCCACTTCCTCCTTAATGTGGGGGGACTCTGGCTCCTGTCGCCCAGGACCAACATCTTCGCTGACATCTTCAAGACACAAGATTTTTTTTAAAAAAGGTTCAGCGAGGTCAGTTCTCATGGTGTAACTTTACATGGCAGATATTGTTTCGATTTATACTTGTACTTTATTGTAACTTAAGGTTATTACAATAAAAAGGTAAAAAGGCTCGTACTGTTTATTAGCCACCTGGTGTGATATAATCTGTCCACATTTAAACAAAATCAAATGTTATTGAAAGACCACTAACAAAAGTTGACGTTTGGTTCACTACATTCTCATGTTTAAACTTTGAATTTGCATGGCTGTTTATATTTATACACATGGTTCACTGGAATTAAAGACTATTCCAAGAAAAAGGTAAAAAGGTGTTTATTAACAAACTGATCTCTCAATTAGGCTGCTGTGTGTTTTATCTGTTTACATTAAGACAAAAACAAATGTGATTGCAAGACCAGTGACATTTTTTTCTCGTCTGCCATATCCGAAACCAACCGCCGGATGGCGCCAATTTACAAAACATGAATGACATGTCGATGACAGCACAATGTTGCACCCTCTGCTAGGTTTGAATATAAATGCAGAGAAACCCAAACTGAACACAGCATTCATAAATTCTACAGTCTTCATATCAGTGGCGGACCCTGAGGGCCAGCAAGGCCTTCTCTGCTGCCCTAAACATTCTCAGAAAAGTAAACTTACTTTTATGTATTTTATGTTATTTTATCATTTGTTATTTTATTTTCATAAATATGTAAACAAAATTATTCTCTGTATTCTTTACATCATATTATTTCCACTGAGTTGAGTGGCTTATTGAAAGCCACTCGATAAATAACTTATTTATTATGGTAGAATTTTTAACCAATCATATTTCAGCTAGCTTGCATTGCCAGGGAAATTAAACTTGCTCGGGGCCTTCAGATTAAACAGAGCAGGCCCCTGTGCACTGTAAGTGAACGGGCACAGTCAGGTTTCAATAGCCAATCAGATCACGAGTCTGAGACTCGTGA